GATGACGTCATGTCACGTCTCAGAAAATACATTAAAAGAAATGTATATAAATCCTCGGGCATAATGATTTTCACTTTCTGTCCATATCTATCCATTTATTTATATAACAACTTTATACAGCAATTTACCGTATAACTAATATAAATGTTGGCAGTTTAAGTTAGAATCACTGAGACTACCACATTTTGAATGAGGCTTCAGGTTTGGGGGAAGATCAAATATGCAACAGAAAAACAGCAGAGCTGCGGAGGCAAACTTCCTCAGTGGCTGTCAGCATCTTAACGTTGCAATGCATCTGTTTACTCTCTTGACTGATGCCACTACTTTCTGTTAGATCTGCATTAATGTAGAAAGCGGCAAACAAACACGTTTTGCTGATGTCAAAACATGTGAAGAACGAGCTCATTTTCACTCTTTCTGCTCTGATTTTTCGTCACTTCTCTGTTTCAAAGTCCAAACTCGGTCCCATCATTATGATCATCATCGTCATCATATATACTGTATACACATCATCATGCAGTAATTTAAATCTTAAATATTCAAATTTTGTATCCCTTCAAAACAAAAAACTAGTGATCACAAATGATTGAACTTTAACCTTGTTGCCAAAAGCAACAGGCAAGAAGTGATGAGGGGATTATTGGAAATGCAGAAATGACAAAAGAAATCTGTGACTTCTAAGAATTTAGTGTGTGTGTGTGTGTGTGTGTGTGTGTGTGTGTGTGTGTGTGTGTGCGCGCATTTAAATATATGCATGTGTGTTGGTGTGTATTTACAGCATTGCCTGTGTGTGTTGTTTTTGATCAGGGCTGCATTTCGTCACTTATTGACTGAGTTTGTGGTTTTTCTCTATAGTTCTCTCTGCGTATGCGCTGCCTGTTTAGCTTCTCATATACATGTCTAGGGTTTGTGGTTTTGCGGCCCGGATGGGTGGGTGCATTTGTCTTTTTCCTGAGGTAGACTCTGCATTGAGGTTAGAGCTAAAGATGTAGGAAACTAACTTGCTTAGAGGGAGGGAGTCAACACAACCTTGACTTTAAACAAAGAAGGGCAGGGGTTTTCATTACTTTCTATATTTGCACCAACATTCAATATTTTTTTTATTTTTTTTTAAAACATTTTCGTTGTATTTATGATAAATTGGTTGATCTACTCTGAAATAATGTTGCCTGACGTACTTTGTGTGCAAATCAATATACTTAAAATTACATTTTTAAAAAAAGATTCTTCTTCTTGGCTCATTTAATGGTTCATAAATGTTTTGTTTTACAGGTCAGTAATATTATGTTCTAAAGACTAAATTTGGGATTTTCATCTCGTTAAAACTCAATGTTGCAGTTGCAGTCAGAACCAGACGATGCTCTACATGCGTTGGTACGTTCACACACACACACACGGCTGTTCTGGAGACGATGGCGAAGCGAAATGAAGTTGTTTGTTGTGTAAAATGTTCGACTAAACTGTCAACATCACAAACGAATGTGCAAACTGATTCAACTGATAAAGAACCAGATGAAGCTGAACAAAAAGGTAATTTGTGAATTCTTTGGAGACGAAGTATCCCAACATCTCTGAGCTGGATGGAGAGTTATCATTTTGAAGCTTTTAATACGACTGTTTTAAGTCATCTGTTCTACCGCTAGCTTTTATAGTATGTTTATATGTGCAATGCTTCATTTACAGTCAAAAAATGAAGTATATTATTGGGTAAGGCTGTGAAGTAAACACATAATTCAGTTTGAAACATCTGCATCTACAAGAAGTCAATTTACCTTTACCTAACATTTATAGAGAAATATCTACAAGCAGCAGTTATTATTTGAAGTTTATGTAATTCGAAGCAATATTTATGGCTCTATAGGTGTTTTTAAAAGAATGGAAATTGCGATTTGTGCTTTTTGGAGTCTCTCGACACAAACTGTAACTCCTGAAATAATTTCTACTCGGGTGCATTGCAAGCTCTAAATTTAATATTGATAAAGAAAGAGAGTGAGACGCCAGTTCATTCATTATTCCAGTGCATGTTCCAGTTTATTTATTACATTATTTACAGGCAGAGAGAGAAAGAAAAAGTGACTCTTTATATACTGTATCTCCGTTGCTGCGGTCTGTTCTGTTTATTACACTCGTAAAAGTCCTTGGAATGACAGCGGAGTTGTTCCACCACACAAATGTCGTGAAGTAGACATTACTTCTCATTAGTGTTGTGGAGAGTTAATAAGTGCTGAGGTCTTCATGTGCGCTTAGTGTTACCCAGGAGAACAACCTGACTCACATAGTTACTTACAAGAGAGAGAAGCTATACCAGAATGAAAAAAGAAACCTGTTACTCTTTGTTGGACCTAGCCGTTCACCTCCTGAGTAAATCTGAGGGGGAATTTGAGAGAAATTTCATGATAAAGACATTTAAATCTGTCGCTGAGAGATCTAATGTTCTCTGTTTATCTGCTGAGTGAACCGAGGAGACAGGCTGCTGTTAGGACACAAAAAGAAAGAAGAAAAACAGATGAAACCTTGGCAGCCAGTGACCACAAAAGAAAAACCTGAAATAGCATTTCTGATCTTTGTCTGATGGGCCTCAGCACGGCTCCTTGCGGATGTGTCGCAGCATAAACATATGTGTTCGTCATACTGTGAGCTCGTATGGGGCGTGATCGTCACTCTGCTTTGCTGCTGCTGGCTAACAGGTTGTGGTTTGCAAACATCCCAGCATCTTTGACCACAATGCAGCATCTTGCCACACACTGACATGAACAAGAAACTACAGTATGTCCTCTGTTTTTCAAAATACAGGAAATCATTCGTTGTCTTTGGTTGTGAGCCAACGTAGCTCCTCTGATTGGTGGAAAAAAAGTACACATTGTTTGTAAAATCTTCAACTGCTGAACTTTAACATTACCTCTATGAAAAAAAAATCCTGCAGTCTGACTTCAAATTCACATCATTGTATCATTTTAAGTCAACTTAAAGCTTCCAAATGCAGTTTAACTACTTGTGGTTTATGAGGCAACATTACATCATCGTCAGCGAAGAAATGCACATTTTGATTGTTGTGCTTCTTTCTTTCTTTGCTGTATGATAAATCGGACCAGAAAAAATATGCATCTTATTTCTTAATAATGACTGAAACCTTCAGACAAGAATATCATTTTTGTTTTAACCATGTGTACTTTTAGTCCGTGTCATTTAAGCCTGAGAGTGCACACGTCACACATCCCACCGCTTAAAACAAACAGATTTATATCTGCAAAATGTAGTTGGATATTAGTTGACTAGAGGTTGTACCACTACGTAGTGAGTAGAAGACTAAAGGTGTAGGGTAGTACTTGTATATAATTCATACGTAGTGTGGTAGTGGGTGTATATATATACTGATTTACAGACACTCCAATTTGAAGTTGTTGAATAATAGAGTACACGTTGCATTAGCCTGACACACTTGCAAAATACCTGTCTGTACACAACTTTAAATATTTTGTTATACAGAGTGATAAAGGAACATACATACAGTATAGAATAATTGGGAGTCTTTAAAGCTCTCTTCAATTTAATAGTTAAATATGTCTGCACTGCCTTCAAAGTTTTTATTGTACACCTCAGAATGTACCTCTTTAAAGGCCCATTTCAGCTTATTTCAGTTTGGTTCTATCAGTGACAATAATCACCAAGTTGACTGCTTTCTTTTTGCAAAAACAAACCTGCAGGCACAACAGATTGATCAATAGACCAGGAATTTAGATTATTATGCAACACATTGTTTGTTTTTCAGACTAATCTGAACTTATTTCTTGTGAAACAGTTTTCAGGGTTTCCCCAGGACGTGGTTTAGTGGAGGTGCTAGGTGAATTTCCCTTTTCTAAAAACTCAGGTTTTTTTCTAATTTGCCAACACCGACCTGAATCCGACAAATCCTGACGCATCTCGTCTTGTGATCAATCGAGTTACTACGTAGGCTCACTCCTTAGACCTAGGGTTGGCATTACATTTTAGAAAAATTGAGAGAAAAAAGTGCAATATTTTCTTTTGGCGTTAGTGAGTCTATATTTCAGGCGAGGCGCTTCTACTGTAAAGTGACTGAAATTAAATATTCTAAAGGTCTGGTTGCACCAGCATTAAATTCTTTATGAAGGAATGGAAAGCCAGAAAATCCAAAATGGAGAAAGCTATCGTAGCTTATTAGCTGTGTTACAGATTTATTTTAATTCAACCGTCTCTGTGAAACAGGCCAGCTAGCTAGCATGTTAGCAATTAGCTCATCAGCATCAACAGTTAAGCAATTCGTCTGGCTTCTTTTTTTTTTAGAGACGTTAGTGCTCTCCCAGATCTTAGCGATCAACAAGGTGAACACAATGTTATCATCACCAACAGAACCAATGTCTGAACCCCAATAAAATAAGATCCAGGTGGTAATAAACCTTTAAAACGATGTTCCTTGACCCCCCTAAACCTTCATAGGGATAGGCTTGTAGGGATTCAGTGTGTTGCTCAAGAGTACGTCAGTGGGACTCGAAACCAATGTCCTACATCCTCCTGCTTCCACAATCACTGCCCTATGTGCTCTAATCTACCACATTTCACCTCTTCAGTGACTTCCAACCAGTTTAAATGCATGGGTGGGTGCGGAGGGACGTCCCCTACAGTACATTAGAAACTGCACATGGAACTGAAAGCCTCAGATTAGCTGACATCAGTGTAACTTTGTTGTTGTTGTTGTTTTTTTTTAACCTTTTTTTTTTTTTCAAAAAGAAGTTCACGTTCCACAAAGCAGATCGTGGGTTAAGATTCCACTTATGATAAAAATGAAACCCACGTATCAAAAGAAAAAAGAAGAGTGGTGAAACCCTGCAGAGATAACTTTGCTGATTGGAGATGAAGTTTCTGGTATCAGATCTCCCAAGATAGAAATACAGCACACTTAAAAATTAGGTCTTGATCTCATGCAGCCGGCTGTGTGTCGTCTTCTTTTTTTTTTTCTTCTTTTTTTTTTTTTTTGGGTGGTCTGGGCAGTCGTGACATCAAACTGTTTTGTTTTGTTCAGATCTTTAGGAAGACCGAGAAGAATCCCAGTTGTTCATTTCAAAATCTTTGTACAGAAAAGTCTCCCATGCGGTGGGACTTTTACTCTCAACTGCTCTATATACAGCAGTGTGCGAGCACATGGGAGGAACACCAACATCAGACATGTCAACATTTGCAAAAATATATCTTCATATTTTTTTTGCCGTACAGATAGTCAATATAAATAGTAAATTATACGTGGAAAATATACAGTATATGGGGACCGAACACGGATATATCGTATAGGCTGTGCCAACTTAAAGTGCTAACATACTTAGATTTTTGAACAAGCCGCAAGCATTAAGGTATATTCTGACTCCACTTGTAGAGACGGCGCTTCAACAGCAGTGCCCCGCCCTGCAGGGCATCATCATCATCATCACTCGCTTGAGGGATAAAACCAAACACACTTTCACATTCGTATTCTCCAGCTTGATTTGTCAGCAGATGAAATGTGAGACTGGAATGTTTTATACTTTCCTAACTGCCACGGAAATCTTGTTTTTCAGAGAAGTGAAAGTGAGCCGGCATCAGTTAGAAATCCTCAACGTTCTCTCCTCACTTCAGCATCACTCTGACGACTCATCATTTATCTGTCAGATCGTTTCAACAAGTTTTTTTACCAGATCACTGTCCTCTGAAGAGAAATGTACTATTCGTGTGTGAGATAGAAAATGTCCAACAAGGTGAACAGTATTTAAAGCTAAGTGTTGAGAGTACTCTGACGCCTTTAGATCTCCCTGATCATTCACGGATGAACACTAACTTTTTGACATGCAGAGCCCCCTGAACCTGCCAGCGCGCCTCTCATACCTCGTACTTTGCTAAATCAACATGTACAACACTGTGAAGCGGAAAAAAACAACACGATACCTGAAAACCGGCTGAAACCACACGACAAGACTCATTACAAAACAGCAGCAACCAGAGCCGGTGATGATACGGGCAGAGCTGTCTGGAGGGCGATCCAGTGAGGGACTCTGCATGTGGACTCAGGAGTCCAAGAGAGACCCGTATTTTTAAGTGCTTCCCGAATATAACCGGGCCCCTGCGCTCATTTTGCATCCCTAACCTATAGATTATCGCGCATTGGTCGTTCCGCATTCTGACTCCCCGTCCTGTGACGTAATCTATAAGAGGAGAGCACTGATGTGTGCGGGCTGGTTGCCGATCAGATCTTGCTGTTCTCCAGGTGGGAGTCGATGTGCTTGATGAGGGCATCGTCAGGGTAACCCATGGGGAAGATCAGCTGGCAGAGAGGGCAGCTCCGCATGTCGCTCTCCTCCGTCTCCATCCAGAGCTGTGGGGGCAACACACACACGCACACACGCACCCACACACACACACACACACACACGCACACAGAGATGTATTAGACAGCAGGATACATCACATGCAGGCACAAACTTCACTGGATAGTATTAGTCATCGTGTGGGAGGCAACACAATTACTACTTGGTGAGTGATCGTCACTTCAGACTTTTGAAATAGACCGACTCGTAGTAAATCCAGGTGGAAACTCTCCTCCAAAGCTCAGATTCATTGTTCAGTTTCGATCTTTCCAGTCATATAGCTTGTCAACAATATTGGAGCATCAATTAATATTGATTCTATGTATTTAAAACCATTTCTACTACTCGGATACCAGCTGCGTTTTCTGCTCTCTTCTCTCTGACAGTGAGTTGAAACACTCATATTTTATGCCCTCAATGTGTCAGTTTTTTTATTCCTTAGTGTCAAAAATGGTTTCAAATACTGTAATTTTTCAAAGTATTGCAGCAAAGTTAGAAATTCCAGCTCCTGGAGGGCTTTTCCACCAACATAAACATGTTACATAAGCACATGTCGGGATCAGATATTTGCTGAAAACAACTGATGCTGCATTTTTCTTGCGAGGATAATTATGCTTAGCTTTTAAAAAACCTTAAAGCAAAAGAATCGGCAAACATTAGATGGAGCTAATGTTTGCCACAAGTTTAAGAATGCTCCCCTCAAGCCGTTTTATTGACATGACGTGTCTTGTTTGTTGAAGTTGGAGTTATTTCTTGACAAACAACCGGTAATCCGTACATCCTGTGCTTCTGTGTGCCGTCTCCGGCTCCAGCGTGGGTTGCCAGATTTGGTCAACGAGTACAGTTTCTGGTTTCGGTCTAAAGCGAACCTTGCAAACCTTAATTTGAAGAAGCTGTGCACAATAATGTTTGTCAAGAAATAGTTCTGACCAACTCACTTGAAAAAGAGGATTATTGTTATTACAGTTGTTTCTTTTACAAGATATAACATGTGAATTAATGAGCTTCAGAGATGTTGATGTATAGATTGTGTTACCTGCGCACAGAGCCGTGCGAGCTGTAAGGCTAAACACACTCGACCGATATCTAACTTCTCATCTCAAGCTCAGAAAGGAAGCAAGTGACTATTTCTGTTAAGTATTTACTTTAAAGGAAGTCGAGACATGATGGAGACAGAGGATTGTGACATTCAGAGGGAACAAGACTCATTGGCAAGCGTCTTGGTGTTAAAGAACAAAGTCATTTTCTGTGTACCAGCTCAGTAACTACAGTTGTGACAAAGTGACACTTTTTAAAAACTGTACACTGCTGCAACTTTGTGGTTTCAGAACCACTCATATGGTATTCATGCGAGCTCATTTACATGTTGTTATCGTGTTTTACACTTTTGTTTGAACTCACATTGATTGAAGGCCAGGACTGAGCGTGCTCTGCTGACATGTACCCCGGCTGCGGGTGGCAGCTGAGGGTGTTGGACCTCTGAGGGATGGGGAAGACTGAGCAGGACGCCGGGCCTCTCATGACGCCACCGGGCACCGTGGAGGAGAGCACGCCCAGCGTCCGCGGGGGGCTGATGGGATGCGGGCAGTTCCACTCCTCCTCATCTTCGGAGGACTGTGGGGGCTGGGGGGCCGGTGTGGAAGGCGGAGGGGGCTCAAAATGCAGGTGGCCCACCTCCGACAGTGGGAATGGCATCTCTCTCGAGTGGCGCATGGAGCTCTCCCCGAGGCCCCCGTCTCCTCCGGGGCCACCTTTATGGTGGGACGGGGAGCCTCTGTGCTGCAGTCCCCCATGAGGAGAGCCCACGTGTTGGGGCTGCTGTTTCGCGTAGCTGTCAATGTAGGGCCGAGGCTTAGGCAGGGTGGCGACGGGGTCCAGGGAGAAGCGGGGAGGGCACTGGTAAGCGGAGGGGTCGGCCACCTCGGAGTAACTGCGGCGGCCCTGGAAGCTGGCCCTCAGGTGCTGGCTGGGAGGGCGGCAGGAGTAAGAGGCCGGCCCGTCGTTGACGTCCAGCAGGGGGGAGCGGCGGTGCATGTCCGGGGAGAGGCGCTGCAGCACCGGGGAGCGTCTCTGTTGGATCGGGGAGTGGTGTGAGGGGGGCGGGACCGGAGAGTGCCGCTGCGAGATGGGCGAGTGGCGCTGAGACACCGGAGAGTGGCGCTGGTGGTGGATGGGAGAGTGACGCTGGACTGAGGGAAGAAAAATAAACAGTTTGCTGAATATGAACATGGATGAAACATTGTTGGGGATTTTGTCTGTTATTATTTTTGATGCAATATCTGAAACCTTTTTAGAAAGTGGTAGTTTATGGTGTTGTGTCCTTTTATCCTTTTTTTGTTTATTTCTTTCATATTATTTACATTAGTTATATGTCTCGATGCTGCCTGACATCTTGGAAAATAAAGTTATAAGAAACAGAAAAAAAGACATTTTTGCACCAAAACAGTGAGTTAATATATACTTTGTCAGGAGACATTCAGGGCAGTTTTTACAAACTAAACCTTCCTGCCGTAAAGGATTCAGTTAAAAGAAATGCACATTATGTCCCTGTGTATATTCATAAAAAGATTTAGATCTGCACAGTTTAGTGTATTTACAAGACATGTCGATGACTCAGTCCCCCTTCTAGTCACCACTTCCCAGATCAAAGAGGAAACATCATTTATTGCTGGTCGGTTGAGGTGTTAAAGAGGGCGGAGGTGTTTGTGCTCTGAAGCACTCTGAAAACCTCCGAGATGGAAACAGTCGAACGGGACTCTTCAGCTCACGCTCACTCTTACACTGTAACGCCCAGGAGAGCGTTCAGGGCTCAACACAAACCCCCTCTCCTCTGGTTACTTCAACAATTCACAAGAACCAAATATTTGTTTTGTTATCAAAAAATAGCCAAGAGGCAATCGCATCGCCCGCACCATCCTGTACCTAAGCAGACGTGGCGTTCAAGTCCTATTTCCTATATTAATGTGACAAAACACGACCTTAGGGAAACCTTTAACGGGGGTTCTGTGTTCCCCCCACTTGTTAGCCGCGTTAAAATGCACACTTATTCATTGATTTACACAGCGTCATCTTACAGTTTGTACAAATCGACTGCTCAATGAAGGCGATGCACGTGGGGCCTTTTGGTTTGTGGGTTAGTAGCTGCACAGTTGTGAGACGTTGGATATGTGTGTGACTGCGTGCAGGAAGGGAAAGGTGTTGCTCCTGTTCAACACTCTACAACGTGTCTGTTAGTGTCTGTCTTTTACTCTTAAGTGAGAAAAACTGAAGCAACAAATCATAACCGGAAGTTATTTGTCATGCCATTAGACAGCAGAGGTAAACGTGCAGAGACCTACAGGCAGAGATGGGCAGTATTTCTATTACTTGTATTTGAAATACGTATTTCAATTACTTTCGAGTATTTTTTAATTTGTATTTGATAGGGCCGATAAAAATCGAACGTAATTTGTAACAAAATACTTTAGAGTGGAGTAATTTTGTATTTAAAATACTCAAAATACTTTCTCCACGAATCAAAAAACAGTTCATGAGTTCAGTCTTCAGATCTTCAAGTTCTACGGATTGTCAGTCAAGGTAAATATTTTAGTGTGACAGACCAAAAATTATTTTGGTGATGTCATTAAATTAAACTATTGTTTGTCACATGGACAAGTTATTTATGACTCTAACATGCTACATATGTGCGTGCGTTCTGGTTTTTTCTCCCCCTTCAAATTACAATCCAACAGCCTATCATCATACTTAACGATATAAAGTTGACACTGTCGGGTCCATTCTCCATCCATTGTGTGCGGTCCCTTTAAGAATTAGGATTTGGGAGTGACGCGGATAATACTTTATTTGAGAAAAGTTCATATTTGTGTTGTCAAATTTCACTATGACCCTCAAATTCTGTCTCTTGTGTTATCATATACTGAATGCAAGCAAAACTACAGAGCAAAATCACACTCTTTCTGATTGAATCTATGAACTGTCTGAAACAATGGATATCCACGGCCCCAAATGGGCCCCAAAAAAAATTGCCGCTCGCTACGTGCGCAAACATGACGCTGCCCTTGGGGCTAAGCCCCCCTTTCTTTGAATCCTAGAAACGCCCCTGGTGACAGATGTCAACTAGCTTGATGTATAATTGATGTCTGGGTCTGGCTACATAGCCTATTGTATACACATGGTGATGGTTATAATATCAAGCTAGTGATCGATGCTAACATGCTAATGACGCTAGCATGCTGTCTAGGCTAGTGCATAGCCAGTGTTTAGCAGCTTATCAGTCGAGTAGCTAGCTATAGGAAGACGGAGATTGGGAGCTTGTATGTTCATGATAACTTTATCAAGAGACGTCTGACCATCTAATCTTGCACTGTATTACAAGTTATGCTGTATCTTCTCAATGTGAATGTCATAATGCCATATCAATTACTGGCAGATAATATAGTTCACAGTTAGCCAGGCTATGACAGTAGGTGTCCATTTGTTAAAAAAAACTAAAAAACATTAAATATCCAATTTATTTTATTTAAAAGGCATATTATGAAAGTATTCTTAGTTTTATTATTTCATACATTCTACAGTTGGCCAGGTGGACAACATGTCTCAGCAAGATGATGTTCAAGAAGGACCATCAACAAGCACAGATGTGCTTATTACACTGACGTTCTGTGACTGTTCTTCCTTTTTGTGGGCTTCACCAGAGCTTTGTGTACATTATATATAATTATATTATATTATTATTATATTATATAGCTCAAACCTGAATGCTCTGCTATACCAAATTGTGAGAAAACGGAAAATCCAGAAAAAAGTATTTCCTATATTTTGTTACATTTTCTGGCACCAGTATTTTGTATTTTATTTTGATACATTTATTTGAGGGGTATTTTGTATTTTGTATCAAAATACATTTTGATGTATTTTTGCCCATCTCTGCCTACAGGGATGTATTAATGTTATTTTGATTAAGTGACATTTCATTTTACAAAGGGCCAGCATCTGTCTAACAAGAAAATTTAACTATTTTGGTTAATTTACAAAATATGATGTATAGATTTGGTTACAATAAATAGTATGAACAAATTTCAGTGTTTATTTATTGTTCTGATAATTGTAATCTAAATAACATTAAATCTAACATGAAAGGATAGAGTTCATTCTCTTGAGCCTTAATGCATTTATTTGGTCTCATTTATAAAGTATTTTACATGTGTTTACACTGAATTAAACCGTCAACAGGATTTGTAATTAACTATTTGCTATGTTTACTCGGGTAAAATAACTGAGTGCTTCCTCCAGCAAGGAGGCACTGAGGCACTGAGGTGACGGTGCCACAGGTCGTTTTTCCCACAGTTTCGACACACCGTATTCTTGCTAACCTGGACTAGCCTGCTCCTGCGACGCTTTCCTCAGGATCTCCGTCTGCTTGGAGCTCAGCGCTTGGAGGCGTCCCAGCTCCTCCGTCAGCTCTGTGTAGGCCAGAGCCAAGTTCACCCTGGAGGGAGGGAGGCAATTATGTCATCATCTTAATAATTGTCATTATATCACAATGTTGGTGGAATGCAATTTACAAAACGTGTAAGTTAATCAGAGTCTGAAACTGCATCTTAAATCCACACACTGCAGCTGAATGAGCTCTGCAGCGCTGAGGCGGCCTCACTAATTGAGAGGCTTATCGGCTTATATTTTTAGAGTGCATGTCACGGCACATAATTTTGAAGTGCATAAAATCACACCGTTTCATGCAAAGATGTGTCATGAGTCTCTCAGGGGCAGCGCTGACGGAGCAACTCTATTTCAAGAAGAGTAAACAACAACGCTTGGCTTCCATGCGTCTCTTAAACCATGGCAACAGGCTGACTTTGAGTCAACTCATTAGCTCCAAACTGATCTGAGCCCCATCATTTAAATTACTGTCAGGCAGGTGTTACACAAGCAGATGTAAGGAATAACCTCTGTGCAACTTTAAGCATCTTCAGAGACTGATGTTAACTGTTTGGTTAAAAGAAGCAGCTGTAGTAGTCACTGCCCTCAAATCTGATAACGCACGGCTTATCTCAGATGTCTAACCAATTTTTGTAAACTCCCCCAGTCTTGACCTGAAAGTCACCGACGGTGCTAGATTAGAAAGTTGATTGCCCGACTGGCGAGACGTGAAACCCTGAAATCTAACTTGTAATCTGTTGAGATAATCAGTTCATCCTGCCAGCCTGAGTCATCTGTGTTTCAAAGGTTCGATTGGTTTCATGAATGCCTTTTGCGTGTGTGCAATTAGAATAAACTTGTGTAACTCTATTGTCACTTCTACTCCCAAGTTTTCTCTACTTAAAAGTTTCATGAAAAACCGTCTCGTTGTACCCGAGTGCCAGATCGTTGCTACTCTCAGATCTGATGAAGCATCTCCGAAAAAACAATGTTCAACCTCTTAATCAGAATTTGACTCGGCTCATTCCTCCACAGAGATGGTGGCAGATAAATGTCTGCATAGATGGGAAAATATGTTAACTTCCACTGCAGCACCAAACAAGAGAAGAAAAACACTTATCCTGCCTTCACAGCAAATACAACACACTGTCAAATTAAAAGTATGTTCCCCAGCACACCCGCGCACTAACTTAATTAAGTCTTCTCACTGTGTGTGTGGGTTAAGCCTGCTACTAGAGTATGTATTAAAATAAACCCTGCATATTTATTTTATTAATAACAGCAGATTTTTTTTACATTTTATCTGCACTGAAAAACAAGCTAGCTGTTTTTTAGCACCACATACAAGTTTATCCCCCCGATATTATTTAAAATAAAGTCAGGCACCCCATTTCAGGGAAGCTCACAAGCTGGAGATAAGTCATAACTTCCACTGGTTAGTTGGCTTTTGCGAGTGGCCCACCTAGTTTTCCACTGACTCTGCTATGACTCAGACAGAGTGGGGTCTCAAACCCCCTCTTCACCCACCACCTTAGAACAAACAACATCCCTCATTTTTGGTTGAGGTTGTTGGAACCTGGTGCTGACATTGAGATGATTCAGGGTCATCTGAAGTCTCCTCCAAACCTTTCAACACCTTTAGTGTGTCAGTAAGAAAACAACAATCGAAAGGTTACTTACTGGCAACTTGCATGGTGGGTGGTGCATAAAGTATAATATTGATATCGCCAAAAACGACTTCTTTCAGGTGAATCTCAGCTCCAGTTCTGCTCGGACTTCTTCCTTTTCTAATCGGTGTATATGGAAATTCTCGACAGTTTAGATGCATGCACCTCTTTCCTTTTCACACTTGTACTGGCTCACTTTTCAATTTTGCTGGTGTGTTTCGACAAACTGTCGGGGTCGGGCTGCGACACCTCTCACAGCGAAGCAGACGTGTGAACACCTGATGTCTTTGACATCAAGTTTTTTTGGTCTCTGCATGTCTAACAATACTTTTAGACATTTTTCTGCATGCGCTTGTTCTTTTTGCATTTATTTTTGTTTCCTTTCTTTCTTTCGCTTGTTTGTGTGTAACCGCGCGAACATACTGTACAATGTACAATGTACAGTACAGCGCGTGGGAGGGGCGTGATGATTGCAGATACAGCATTGATGGAAGATTGGCGCCTCTGAATCGATCAGATACAAGGGTGGATGTGTGTGTAGGAGATGAAGTGAGGAGCGTGTGGGCAGGAATCCGACCTCTGACCCGTTCAGACGTTTCAAAGAAAGAGCCGTCACTGCAGCTGCCTTCGAGATCGGAGCTCCTCTTTGTTGGCTTAGAGTAATAATAAACCTTCTTTTTCAAACCTTCTGCAGCCCAGTCGCTCACATCGAGGATGTGGCCTCGAGGGGGAACTAACGGTTGAATACTCTGTGATGTGGCCATAACAAATACTCTCATAAACTTGTTACTGTGGTTTGGAAAAAGGAAGATATTCATGGTAGTAAATTTTGGCTGCATGCCTTCGGCCTCATAAGGGGACGTGTTGAAAAACGGAGGGGGCTTTTCACACTCGCATGAGGCACTTTCAGCCGAACACAGAGAGGTGTCAAACAGTCCTCGCACTAAGTCACAGTGCACCAAACATCCAGAGTGACGGGCTTTGCTACCTGGTAACTGCAAGTGTTTTATGGGGGGGGATAGTTATCAATAAAAATGTTTAAAAAATGGATTTCCAGAAGCTAAACTTTGTGGTTTTTCAAAAGCCAGGCTCGAACTTTGTCACTCCTTCAGTGGTTTTTTGAATTTCAAACAAAATATAGGAAGAAATTAAAATCATGTCGTGACTTATTGGAAATAGTCTCACTTCCTGAAAGCTGAAGAGGGATTAGTCAGTCGCTCTGTTTACTGTAGTAAAGGGGGGGGGGGGTGCGCGCAGTGTGGCTTGTGGTTGGTGAGGGTGAGGGCATCCCATTCACGTAATACTAGTTCTGAGTGATGCACACAAAAAAGTCATTTCATTTGATTGGTTGTAAGATTACAGCCACAAACAAGGAGAGGAAAGAAACATAACGACTGGAGGAGAATATTGTTTTGCTTTTTAGAAGGTGAAAGGAATACTTTACCCCCAAAAATGACGATTCATATATGAAATACTGTGTTACTTTGAATTCTTAAAGAAACGGTTTTAGTGCCTCCACGGTGAACAGAGAATACAAAAATGGAAAAAAAAGTCTTGATGAATTGAAGTAAAGTAAAACCGCAAAACTAGATCAAAACGTCCGTTAACAAACTCTAAAACAACTCATTCCAACGCTCGCTACTTCACAAACGCATGCATCTTCACTAAAACCTCACTATTTAAATTGTAAATAGACTGGATACATTTCACCGCGGAGGCATGTGAGAAGAACAGAAGTTTTCTTCAAGAACTCAAGGTGAGTAACTGATGGTCATGTTGGGGGTGAAGTACACCTTTAAAATGCTGCTGATTATCAGGGCGAAGGTTGTGTATTAATGTGCTCCACAGCACACGCAAAACCCTCCCTATCAATCTGTGCAGTTTACTCTAAATGAGCCCAATTACAAGAAAAAGCAGCAGGAAGCAGAGGAGAGGCACTGTAGGTTTTCAGTGGGAGTTAGTGATATTGTTGAGTAAAACCAAAAGGTCTGGAAAAAAGCAGTAGTCTTCCACCACACACTCAGTACCAACCTCTCTGTGCAGCCACAGAGTTTACTTTCAGTTTGTCTCCCCATCGAAACACTTCTGGGGTTTCACTGTGTGGGAGTCATTTGCCTAACCTGCTGTGGTTTTGACTCTTCATCGTACCTGTAGCACCTCGTAAACAGCCACGCAACATGGGGCAACTTTTATAAAGGCATGAACATGAGCTACTTTCTTTTCTCTCTCGTGTGCTGTAAGCGAGTGGAAACACTTGAATGCCCACTGTTGCTCTTTTGTGTGGTTTCAGGTGTAAGAGAGGGGTAGAGCGATGCCGTTATAGAGGAAGTGGTTCTGCGCTGTGCTTACACTGCCCCCTACTGCTCAGACTCATCTCTCCTCAGCAAATGTTGAATAAGAAACAATGGTGTTACAGACGAATGCACTTAGTAAATGCGGCGTTTGTGCACAAAGAAGAACACTCCTTTTAATTAATGCTGGGTTTGAACCCAGTCGGCCAGCGATGGCGAGCTCGTCTTGTTTCTAATGAGGCCTCTGGAGGTCATCTCAGCGGGAGAATCAAGATACAGATGATGCTCAACCAATATCTCTCTCCTTCCTGACACCTTTCCTTCCATCGCTCCTGGTTTCATTTCTTCCCCTCCCTCGCCCAGAGATCGGCTGTGGTCACTTACTGCTCATCTCCCACCTTCTTTATCCACTCCACATCACACTGCTTGCACGGAGAAGTCATTTCCTGCCGAAGTAGAGCATGAAATTAGATTAGCATGCAGGTGCTGGTAGAATATTGAACAAAATCTGACAGCAGGAGCGCATCGAGGCAACATGTCTGAAGGTAACATCGTCAGAAATAAAGAGGACGAGGATAATTATTATTCAAGCACTGTGTGTGTGTGTCATTGTGCTACGGTGGACCTTTTTATGGTTTTGTGTGTGTAGGTGAAGTCATCCATGAAGCCCAAATATGTTCGCAATGTTGCTCCAACAAAGAGAGAACAACTGTATTGGAACTTAGCACAACGACTGGAAACCGGGTGAAACAGCTAGCCTCGCTCTGTAGCAAGGAAACAAAACCCACCAACCAGAACCAGGTGGCAACCTCTGGTTCTGAAGAGCGAAGCCAACTCTGAAGTGCCTTAAACCTGCAGTATCTCTAATGTCCAGCAGGGGGCGACTCCTCTGGTTGTCTATGAGAAAATTACTCTACTTCTCTCTTGATTTATTACCTCAGTAAACATGAGTTTATAGTCCATAAACCAATGGGCTACGGTCACGGTTACTGTCTACTTCCTATTAGCAGTCTATGACCAGAACTGTTTATTCCATCCGCACAAAAGCTGTCTCCCCCCGTTTCCAGTCTTTGTGCAAAGCTAAGCTCATCGGTTGCTGGCGGTAGCTTCATATTTAATGTTGTATATCGATCTTCACATCTCACTCGCGAACTGTTCCTTTATGTACAATATTGAGTGCAGCACTAGATATTTACATCCTCCGCCCCTGGTGCTTTAAAGCTGTTTGAATGATGTTGTTATTGGATGACCACCAGTGGGAATGTGCAGCCCAGAATCCCGGCAGCACCCAATTCACACCAACGTTCAAGGTAAAGAATCTGTGTCTTTAATAGTAATCTGGGGTAATGCAGGATCGTCCGATACATCTAATGTTCTGGGGATGGATTTGACATTTCTCTTAATACTTCTCACACATCACTCAGGACAAAACAAGGAATGTATCACAAGAACAGCACTGCTTCTCTGACAACATCAACACTGACCCGGTCCCTCTGGCTGTTCTGCAGCATCCTCATGTCCTCCTTCAGTCTCTCACACTCCCCCTTCAGCTCCTCTTCCCTCCGACACGCCCCCTGGGCCTCGTGCCGCGCCCCCTCCAGCTCAGCCTCCAGCCGCTGCAGCTTCAGGTCGGACAGGGCGTCCAGGCTACGGGAGCTCTGGAGGGTCAAAGCTGGACAGTCCAGCACTGGGAGCAAAAAGAGAGAGAGAGAGAAATGAAAATACTTAATTTTCACTGCTTTTGGCCCTGACTAATGCAGCGTTCTTTCTAATCTTCCATCCACGGTTGTTGTACAATAGATGAGTATGAGAGAGCAGAGGAGCTGACTTCTTCCAAGGGCAGCGTCTTTCACTTTGTACCTGGGTGATGTGATGTGCGTGGGCATGTTAGTGATTCAGCTCTGCTCACAAAGACTCACACTCAGTCCTTGAGCCAGAAGACACTGGAGCGGCGCATCGTCTTTTATATCCCAGCTCCTCCTGCCTCCTCTTGTGCACACATACTGTACACGGATATCTTCCCACATTCATAGACGCACACGCTGCTCTTAATCAACAATAATACCTTGCAAGCTCTGACTCCTCACACACAAAATGAAGGCGAGACACTGCAGGCAAAAACATTGTTTATCATGCACTGATCGATTGTGGGAATCTTCTTTTAAGACTGGAGGAAAGAAAACATTCAAAATACACATTTACGTAGGTGTTTATTTCACTACTTTGTTTATTTGTGTCTGTAGATTTCTCCTAAACTCACCAAAAGTTACCATTAGACGATGCCTCATTTGCATATTTGATTCAATTTGACAGCAGTTTAATAGTATAGATCTGATTCTTTATGTATTTTCTTTAAGAGGCAAAAAGCTGCTTTTCATGCATCGGTCAATTTGAGATTTTGGGCTATTTTACATCCATAACGTGTCTTCTTTCAGACTAGAGGAAATAAAACATACACATTTAGGTATCTATATTTTGTTTATTTGCATCTGTAGATTTCTCCGACATTCACCAAAAGTAACCATTACACAATGCCAGTAATGAACTGGTGAAGGTTCGTGGTGATATCTATTAGCTAAATGTTTTAACCTTTTCACTTGTGGTTTCTCCAAAAAAGCCTTTTTTTCCATTAAAGATGAGAGTTTGATGCAGAATGATATCCCCTTCACTCAAGTACACCATCAGTGGGGGGGCATCTGTTGAGGTGGCGGTGACACATTTTTTCCAGTTTTCCATCAGCCACCCACGACGTCTAAAGTTCAGCACAATCTACTGGACTTCATGTTTTATCTTCTGTGCTGCAGTCTCAAAATGAGGGAATCTGCTGACTTGGTGAAGCTTTAGAAGAATTAAAGGTTTTATTCACATGCTTTTTAAAAAAAAATGTATTCAAAAGCAGTGAAAGCAGGGTGAGTGACCTGCCTTTGTTTGAAGCATCTTTAAAACGTATTTACCGTGCATCTTTACATATTTACCGTGCAGGAATTGATTCGCATCGTAATAATTTGACTTATCTCGCAGGTTTTCCAGCATTTGGTGACACAGACTCATTACAATAGAGATCACTCGGCTGTACAGATGGAAGCAACGGGTTGAACGATACTGAGAAATCCTCCAAATATACAGCACCAGGCACTGACAAATGTTTGGATTTTGGAGGTCTCTATTCCTGCGGCTGTGATTGAGGAGCTGGAACAAAATGTCCAAGCTGGTTCTCTCCAACAGGCCGAGGATTAACTTGACCTCCGTGTCTTTTTCTGGCCAGATTTTGGGATTTGATGGCAGAGAAAAGATGAGCAGTGATTAACTGAGATGGTGTCTCAGCTGGTTAAATGTATTTTGTACTGATACTGTGCTGGTACTTTGTACTGTATTTATCTTGCAGTAACTAAAATGCGTTTCAGAGTTGAGTGGTGAATGTGTGTTGTTTGCTAAACACATTGAAGCTTGATATTGAAATACAACACGCTATTATCAACCACCTGCTCCCAGAATGCACCTGTGAAAACACCTGTAAGCATTTAGATTATTTATTTTATTTTACAGAGAGTTAGAGGACTATAGTTGTAAGATACTGTATTTTTTATTTACAGTACAATACTGTAATGTTAAAGTAAATGTGTGTTTATAAGTATTGGGAACAAACGTTTGTGTTTTAAGTCTATAGACTCAGATAATAGTGTTTGATAGCAGTTGTTGACAAAGCTATTTATTTGGTCACTTTTAGAAGAGTTTGAGATTAAAATCTCTTTTATAAGGGAGACCTTGCTTTTGCAAGAGATGTGAGACATTTTATATTTTGTGTTCGAATTTCGACAAATACAAATTATGTTTTAACAATTGCAACAACCAGTAAACACTACGGTTCTCTCTGAAAATGGCGATAACCTCAGTAATGATGGTAGCAGGAATCGTCGTTGGCTGTGTTGTAACCATCAGAACCTATTGACAGTAAAACCAGAATACCCACACATCTCAGCTACAGATTGAGGTGATGGAGGAGATGGAGGAGAGAGGCGACCGTCACTCACTGTGTGCGTCGGGGCCGGCGTGCAGCTGCAGGTACTGCATGTCTTTGCTGTGCAGCTGCATGTTGAGTTTCTGCAGCGAGTTGTCCCTCTGCCTCAGAGCCGACTCCAGGCCCAGGGTACGCTCCACGTGCTTCTCCACCAGGCCGGTCTGCAATCACACACATTCATTTTATTCTAATTAGTCGCATTACGACTATACAGGATCCAAACACGTACAGAGGTTATATACCAAACGTCTTTGATTGTGGGCCACAAACAGAAACAATATAACTACAAGGAGTCAAGGGCCAAACTAAAGTAAATGTGTAGTTTTTAACCAGAAGACCCCGTGTGTCATGGACAATTCCATCTTTATCAAAATAACTACGCTACAATACTAGAACAGGCAGAACTGGTGAATGAAAAAGAGGTTAAGACAAATAATTTCACAAAGTGTTTAAACTTGGATGTAGAAACAGTGGAATTTATTTAAAAAACAGCTCAAGAAATATTCTAGTTTATTTTTAAAAGTTCAATAAATGGCCGCCCCTGTTCCTTTGCCACTTCTGTCCTGCGACACACAGCCAGGCCACTTTGCTTCTTTGTAAACTGCTAAAAGCCAGTTTGACATTTGTGAATACCAGTGTTATAATATCAGCGCCAGGATATGAATGTATATTACAGATGCTGATATTTAGGGTCCTTGAACATGTCAACAGTTTATCCTAAAGTTTGTTCTTGGTCAAATGTTCTTTTTCTTAGTTTTTCCTTTTCATTGTGCAAAATACACACACGATAAAATACATATTCATAACATACAAATAGTGAGTGCACTGCTGGAAGGCTAAAGGTCGAGCCACAGACTCGGGGTGACATTGAGACACTGTGGCAGCTCCAACAGCTTTGGCGCACCTCGTCCCCGTAATCACATAAAAACTGCTGAGGCTGCTCGGCGTGAGCTGCTCGACAGACTTCACTGTCATATGAGAGGGTTTATTATCACAGAGGGGTTCTGGGAAAGAGCAGCCAGCCAATCTGTTCAGTTGGAAGGCGTCTACCTGGTCTGCAGCCACGTTGATTTGTAGCTCCGCCACAGAAATGTGTTCGTCTTCACAGTTTGAAATACGCACATGTCTAAATGAAAGGAGTCAGAGCATGAAGCTAAAACACGAATCGGTGTATGTTTTTTTTAAATGATGGAAAGTTGCTGCATCTTGGACAACAAACAATAATTGAATCATTTAGAGATTTATGTGTCCTTCCAGTCGATCATGTGTCGTCTCTGAAAGGACTTTTCTCTCTGAAGGACTGTTGACTCAGAATAAGAAGTGATGAAACGGGTTTGCTCAGAGGGCAATTACTCTGAAATGAGCAGTGTTGTAGAGAGTGCTGAGTTAAAGTGAGCCAATGCACTTCATGAAGTGACTCTTTTCTTTTTGGTCGTACTATCAGAGGGACGAATGTAACAGTAGAGAGAAAAAGCAGATGTTTTGTTTTGAAGTTTGTTACAGAAATACAGAAGAATTTATCAAGAATCTGATGTTGTTTTTAGTTGCGTTTCTATATGACTGCTATGACGGACAGGTGCCCTTTAATTCAGTATCGCACTGGCATTAAGACTGGGGACTTGCAAGAGAGAGTCTTTTTTCTAAATCAAAGCAGCAGATGCAGAGAGATATCCTACATTTCCCACAGTGCAGCTTGATTGCATCCTTCATTAGATCCCCTCCGCCTGCCCGTGCAAACTTTTGTGACGCAGGTTTTCAGTTATGAATCTGCTCGTCGGTTCACTTTAAATGTGTCGGATGGTTTCCAGCTCATGGCTCTGGATTTGTGCACGCTGGCTGAGAGAGCTACAGGAATCCTAAAACCCGGAAGAGAGTCAGCAATTTGCTGTCCGACAGCAAGATAAAGCGGTGAGAATATTCTAAATATAGAGTACATGTAAACAGATATTTCTTTTAGGTGGCAAAAATTAGTTTTGCAGCTGCAAACTGCCGGTAACACTGTGACTATGGATAAGTCCCTCATACAAGCCCTTTTAAAACATCTGAACTATCCCTTTACCAAAGAGTGGTGTTCATTTGTGAAGATTGTCTTGCTGAACAAAACGTGCAAGCGTCATAATCGTTTGAAGCACCACACTTTGGGAATCCCTGGTCTACTGTCATTAGACCAGGGATTGTGTAGCGTTAAGATTTCCCCTGAAGTAGAACCAAAACGTCACAAACATCTCTGCCCACACGTGTCCACACACTTCTGGCCACATGGTGCTAACTAAAATATGATCATCTCTCATGTTCATCGCCAGTACATGATGTCATCCATGCCAGCGTTTACATTTCACATTCAGCAGATGGTGAAGCTGTAAGGATTTCTTAATTAATGAGCCATATGGCTTCTGCACGCGGTGCAGCGGACCGAGTCACGTCTCTGACCATCTTGTCGAGGTCCCTCTGGAGGTTGCTCTTCTCCATGTGGATCTTCTCGTAGGCCTGGATCACGTCCTCCAGCTGCTCCTCTCTCTCCTTTCTCTTCTGGAGCTGAAGCAGCGAGGTACAGACGGACAAAAAGAACAACATCAGCAATAACAAAGGCTTGACATACATTTACCTTTTGTTCCCTTCTTTGTCAGTTTTCAAACTTCCTCCCAAAAGAGAGCGAGGGAGAGGAAATAAAACTTCCATTTTCTCTTAGAAGCTGTTGTGTAACCAAGCAAATTTAGGACACGGAAATCCTGACACCTCAGCACGCACGCCTCCCCCATCTCGACAAACGGGCGAATGATGATTTCCACAACCATCTTCAGCACTGTTTTGAATAATGAATTTCTCGGTGTCTTGCTGATCCATCACGCTGTGGCTTAATGAGGGGGTGAATGTCGCGGGATGGCATAATCACATGCTCTCTGACAGGTCTGAGAGCGGCGGCGCGGCGCTCCGGGTTGAGTGAAAAGGGGGAGCTTTTTAAAGTAGAGCGAGGAAGTGTTGAAGAATACGGTCACTTTAGACAACCGAGTGAGAGGGAGATAAACAAGAGAGGACAAAGAGGGTCGCTGCTGTGTGCAGCGTGTCTATGGTAGCATATGCTTGTAGGAAAAGCGCAACCGGGGTGTTTGGAAGGCTTGTCAACAGCATCGTGACTGAGAGTAAGGAGATTGTAATACCCAAAGATGTTCTCGTTATCACGTCTTTACACCTCAGTCTGGATTGGCTGTGTGGGAGGGCTTTGTTGTTTCAAACAGACCTCTTGGGTTCAAAGCTGGTTTTGTTCTAGTTTTTTAGCTTAATTAGTTAGTTTGAAACAGTTGATTTGATTGCAGTGTGTGTTTTCATCACTGAGGCGATGAATTCAAGGTGCCAGTTTGAATGTTGTTGAGAGGAGAGTAAAGACGAGGAGGGTCGCTAAAACAGCAGATTTAAAGGATAGTTTTCCTTATTTTCATCATTTTGGCCACTGTCTGTATCAGTTGTGATAAAGTGATGTGAAAGTGAAGCGCTATGCTCTGAGAACACAGTGGCGTTAGCCAGGTTTCCATGCAAACGTAGTGCAAGTTTGAACCTGAATTTCCAGAGAATCTGCAAAACAAAATGCAAATTAATTTGCGTTTCCACCCACTACTGCATGTGTCCACACACCACTTGTTGAGGGAAGACTGGTGCAGTGAACTCCAGTTGTTGTCACAAATGCGAAATACGTGGGGTCTCGGGGGGGGGGGGTCCGAGACCCCTTGATTGGTACTTCAGAACCCCTGAAAGCTCTAAAAATCATAAGACAATTATTTGTCACTTGCAATTGTCACTTAAATGTCTTTCAAACGCCTTAATGCCCAGCCGGTTTCATTATTTAAACTGCAAAACATGTGGTCACAAATGGTGTGTGTGTGTGTGTGCGTGCGTGCGTGCGTGTGTGCGTGCGTGCGTGCGGGGGGGTCCTGTACCAACATGCTCAGCGTGGCACCTTTCCTCCCTCTGAACTCCCGGAGTCAGAACCATGTGACCGTGTGTGTCCCACGCTAATCTCTTCTGCTGCTCCCTTAAACCATTTCCTTCCTCTTTCTTGCTCTCTAGCTCTTTCTATTTTGTATTTTTCTTTACCGCTACCAGTTTTACCACTGCCTTCCTGTGTCGGCCGTTTCTCATTTCTATTTCCCCATGCTCTCGTTCACACAGTCATAGAAAATAGAGTTGCAAGCGAGGCGAACGAGCAGTCCAAGTACATTAAGGGCGCTGCCATTCTCCTCTCTACACTCAAGTACAGAGTGGAAAAGTAGTAAAACGGATTCCTTTGGAGTACCGTCTGTGAGTAATGTGCACACATCTTGTTTTATATGTTAAATCAAGTGTACAAAGCAGGATGTAAAACCAATCAATTTCATTTATACTTAACTTTACTTTAACTTTACGACTATCAGTGTACAGCTAAAAGACGGATGTAAATCAAATCCTTCACACTGCTAGGAAATGGACGGGCTCAGAGTTTAGCATGATATGGAGTTACAAAGGACTGTGGCTCCACACACACCTCCCTCATGGGTGGATTATGAGACGGTGGGACCCTGGTCACAGACATGCATTTTGTAGCTATTTTGAGTCTCTTTGAAGGTGTTTTATGTTTCTTTGTGATCATTTTGAGTTTCTTTTTAGTTGCTTTGTGTCTCTTTGCAGTTGCTTTATGTATTTAGTTTTTCTTTAAAGAAAAGATTAGAATTAGATTTTGCATGTATTGTTAAAAGACCGTGGCTGTGATCTAAAAGGGTTTTAAAGGCATTTTTCATTTCATCTCGACTCACAAGGCGATCACAATCAGCCCCCCCCCCCCCCCCCCCGTCATCTCTCCTCTCACCTCGTGGGTCAGGACGTTGACTCTCTGCTGCAGGCTGCCATTTTCTGAGTGCAGCAGCGCCGTCTCCTTGCTCTCAAAGGAGCAGTAGGAGTTGGTGTCCTCCCCAAACTCATTGATCATGGGGAACTGCAGAAACAGAAGAAGTGAATCACATTAAAGAACCATAGAATTAGACGTGTTATGATCAGACTAAGAGCGTAGAGAACAAGGATGCAGTGCTTATTTATGCTTTTTTTGTTTTTCCTCCTGTTTTCTGCAATTTTTTATGTTTTCACGCTGAGATCATGAAAGATTAATCTTGTATCAACTGCTTCTGTTTGGCCCAGATATCACTGAGGATCAGCGTCTTTTAACTCATGTCATGTTCTTTTTTTCCATGAACTAGATTTTATTTTCCCCTTCTCCTAAAGTAATCTGTGAAGTTACAGCAAGTATTACATCTGGGATGGGCGTGTGACTCGGCTGCTGTTTGTCCGTCCATCAGTTACTTTGTTGTTCATTCTGTTCATATTTCTGAAAAGATGAATACTTTTTCAAAATGAGAGTTGGTTCTCCAATTTTCTTTTTCTTAATTTTTTTTGCCAATCACGATATCTCAGAAATTATACATCAGATTTTCTTAAATCAGTCCACTGTGTCATTTTCATAAATATACTGATTAGGCAAAAGGGAACAGCTGGCAATATTTTATGTTTAATTAGTGTCAACAAACCCAATTAAAAGACCAAAACCAACTATAAATGAGTTTGTCTCTGAATACATTCTGACTTCCTGTCGGTGGCTCGTTGGTTTCTACTGAAGATGTAAATCTTTATAAACAGCTCACAAACGTATAGTTAGATTTTTACAAAAGGCTCAGTAGTTTCATTAAACAGCTGGTCCCTGTAGTTTTTAACAAACGTTACTTACACAGAATGAAATAGCGCATTTGTTCGGGACTATTTTCAGCGGCGGATTAATTCACATTAGGTGTTCTAGTGAGTATTCGTGGCAGCAGGACTGTGTGTGTGTGTGTGATGGAGTCAGAATAAACTACAGCGTGTGTGT